GTACTTTAGATGCAGTTGCAGTCTTGTATCATAACATTGTCTCCAGCTTAGGCAAGGGGGGTCAAATTTGTTCGCTGCACCTTCCTAGATTAAACATCTGCTTTCGACTCAGTGCCTAGGGACATTTTGTCAGACAAGCTTGCTGAAACTCAAACTGACTGTTCGGTTGTCAAATGGCTCCATTCTTATTTCTCAGGACGAAAGCAGTACACTGTATATCAGGGAAAGTGGTCCACTTCGTTGCTCACTGAGGCTGGTGTCCCTCCTTTCTTGTTTTCTTTCTTCTTGCATGACTTGCCTCATTCTAATGAAATGAATTTTGTTAAGTATGCCGACGATCTAACTATTTCAATGTCTGTTAACTCCCATTTGACTGTACTAAGATGAACAGCTTTCTATCAGGAAGTAGCAAATGGTCTTCGTCTAATGGCCGTAAAATGAATCCTTACAAATGTAAGACTGTTAATTTCAGTTTCTGATGTAAACGAAAGTTAAATGAAGCCGTTGGTTCCTATGACCCTTGCAAAATTGGTGATACTGATATAGAAACCAAGTCTGAAGTTAAGTACCTTGGATTAATTCTCTCTTCTGACCTATCCTGGTCCTCTCATGTCTTAGCAATTTCGAAAAGAGTATTTCGTTTGACTTTTTACATTAAAAAGTTAAGGCACTCAGGCATAACTCAACCTCTCCTCTTACAGTTTATCAACTCGTGTATTTTACCTATTCTTCTGTACTGTTCACCCTTATTCTTTCCTGGATTGCTTAAAAAAGACTATGTCATACTTCGTAGGACTCTGAAGACTGTCAGTAGGACGAGTGGTATCCCATTGGGCCATATCATTGACATTGTCACTGACAGACCCTTGATGTCATGCAACAAATTCGCTAAAGGAATTTTTGTCAGACTCTGAACACCCACTCTACCCGCAGGTCCAACCTTGTGTCTCCTCAGGTAAAACAAGAAGTCTTTTCAGAAGAATTTATGCACGTACGTCTAAGTATAAAAATTCCACTATCCCACATTTAGCACGTACTTTATGTGATGAAAATAGTGTTAGGCATGAACTAACTAACCCTCTTTGCACGACTAAATAAACCATTTCCTCCACCCTTAAAGCATCAAACTTTATTGTTATTGTATTTCTTATATTTATAATCCTCTCAATTGTTTTTGTTTTGTTTAATTTTTCTCATAAATGTGGGCATAATTTAAGCTGTGTTATAACTGTTAATTTTGTATTTCCCCTCACCATACTATATCAACAGAACATTAGGTCCAATAATCTATAACATGCTAAAGCTTCCAATCGACAATACCGTTTGAAACAAACTCACTGTTATTATTATTATTATTATATTTAATAATCTCAATTCGTGCTTCGAATGTTTCTGATTTTATACCGTAAATGTGAACAAATTCCTCTGGTTAATTTTGCTTTAATTTTTAATTTTATTTATATTTTGAGTAAATCAGATGCGATATTGTGACAAATACTGAGAATTCCATTCTGTCCTATAAGTAATGTTTTTGGAATAAAGTAGATTATTATTATTACTAATGTATAGTTTTGAAATTTATCATTTTTATGTTACCTCATAAGTGACTTCATGTTTTAAAATATTGGATAACTATTACTGAAAATAAGTGAACATTGGTATCTAAGCCTATAGTTAGATAAAAGTTATTTTGAGCACACAGACTACGTCCCATTGACAGTAACAAGGAATAGATGTATCCAAAACACTGAAAATACACATTGAGTCATGAACAAAATAAAGACGATTTCCAAGAAGAAAATTTTATTTTTCTAAAAAATCATCTCCACCAACCAGGGTCATCTTATATAAGATTATCTATAAGGTGAGACCAAATGGTGTAGAGGATGTTGGGTTTCAGCATTCGTGTATGTCAGGGAAGTTAGCCTCGAATTCTGTATACGGAAAATGTTTGTCCAGTCTCTTATTCTACTATGGTCTTAATCTCTTCATTAATCGTTCTCTGTAATTTTTTAGTTTTTTACATTTTCCCACCCTCTTCACACTTGTTAAATTGACACTTAACTACCTTTCTTCTCAGTGAACAACGATTTAACCTTATCAAATTTCTTACCCTTTGTTCCTTTGTGACATTGAGTACTACGTAATTTTTTAAATTTTACTTTTGAAACCATCTCTGAGTAATTATATCGATGTGTCACATACCCTCTATTACTCAATGGTGGACTACTATACATTTTTTTGATCTTTTTAAATATGACTGTACAGCCTCTGAAGATAACTTTGTCTATAGAAAAGGTGTATTCAAGGCGAAGATGTATTCAGAAGGAGTAGGTGATTCGTACGGTAAAATCCAAGTGATTTGTTTGTTCTCGCAGTGTCATATTTTCTCGACTGAATGACAGCACATGAATAGACGATACCAGTTCTTTTTACCCTTCTTATTTTTCTAAAATAAAACGTTATTTACCATCTTTAGACCACTTTCAGCTCGCAAACTGACCTCTAACTTACAGCAAGAATCTTTAGTGTGTGTATTGACTACTTGCGTGAAATTTTAGTCGTTTACGCCTATAAGATTATAGGTTTCCAGGCCGTAGGTGTTACGAACTTCCTGGAATAATTTGAGCGCCGAGTCAGATTGATTCATTATAAATTATTTAAATTAATCCCAGCGTGTTAAGAAAATCAAAACAAGATTTTTCTGAACGTTTCTCTGTGTAAGCCACAGCTTCTTCAGTAGATTTATTCGGAAGCTGTGGCTTACACAGCGAAACGTTCAGAAAAATCTTGTTTTGATTTTCTTAACACGCTGGGATTAATTTAAATAATTTATAATGAGTTTACTCCTATAGTTTAATTGGAAAGCACACAGTGGAAGCCTGCTTAAAACTTGGGCTACCAAAAACTTCCTTTTTTCTTAATTGTATATATTTTCTCTCGTTCGGTTTGTTTTAATCGATTGAGATATGACTTTTAATGGTATTATCTACTTTTGTGTGTATTTAAAATGTTTACAAGCAGCTTCTGATTCACAAGTTCCTACTAAACTTGAGGAATGGCCTGATGATTGTGGGTGGCAGCGTGTTCCAATACATGAGATAATCGTCCTTCAGTTGTGTCCTTCGGTTTCAAAATTTACTTCTAAACATCTTAAAATTGGCTTTGAACTAGATATCTTGGATTTCTTGAAGGAAGGAGACAAAACAAATATATCATAATGGAATGGTTTGTGCTACCGAGCCCAGAGAGAATTGTGTCACAGGATATACTGTCAATTAATATTTTACTCGAAGATACTGTACAAAGGGAAAATGTCAGGCAATAAATGCCGTTGAAAATTCTGTACATTTTATAAATACAGTCCAGAATAAAGATATTGTTATTAGTGAAAAATGTATTTAAACAAAGTGTTCTCCAAAATATATCACAAAAGTTACATTAAAGAGATTTGAGTACAGTAATTTATCTGTGGAGACATTCTTAGATCCACTCTCTGTCTTGCTGCAATAAATTGTCAGTATTAAGCAACGAATTCGAAGGAATTCAGCAAAAGAAAATGAATTTATTTGCTGAAGTTTTCTTGGATTTCAAGTATTGGTTTTGTAGAGGTTTTCATTGATTGGTTGGAGGATTTCATCATGAGCTAAAATCAGTTAGAGAACCACTGGTATAGCTGGGAGTACTGGACAGCTGTTTCGTCCTAGTTCGGGACTGATGAGTAGTCTCAAATTAGGATGAAACAGCTATCCACAACTCCAAGATTTTCCAGTGGTTCTTCAACTTATCTTGGATTTCCCGTCAACTCATTACATTGCACTGAAATCATCTTTTTTTGTCAACTCCTAGTCAGGACTCTGGCTTTAAGTCTCATTGGAAATACCAGCAGTCTCTCGAGGTACAAGTAAACCAAGATAAAGACTCCGGAATAGGATTGTATCCCATTGCTTGCCACTATCAATCGAACGATAAAAAATAAGCCGATACCAGTTCAGTGTTACTTATCTTATTAGATTACCATTTATTGCATTGAGTTCGATTTCATGGTAAAATACAAAAAGCAAAACTCGACTTTATTAATGCTTAATAACTACTGCTTACAACAGTGATATGCTAAGTTGTGCGAAAAAGACCTACCCTATCCCTCTCTCTTTCTCTCTTTGTCTAAGCAGATGTCAAACAGTTGACTTGTGCATATCACTCGAACACATGATTTGTTTTTAAGCCTAAAATATGAATTAAACAGTTCCAATTAAATTCAAATAATACATAAATAAAAAAGGCAGAAACTGCCACCAACAGGATCGACGAAGTTACGTAAGACATATATATATATATATGTAATTGGCAAAAGTTGGAATTCATGAGCGTTTCAAGATTTGACTTTGAAGGATTTAATTTGTTTTTCGAGTTTGACCGCGGATTGATATCAGTCAGAGAACCAATGAAAACCATCAGGGAGTACTGGATAACTGTTTTATCCTAGTTTGAAAATCGTCGGTAGTATGTCAATGACATCGCTTGGTGGTCGCATTGAACCCACGAATCGGTCGAAGTTAGAATTCTTGGGTTGGCCGGTGAATTGGATACCAGTAGCTGAATGGTATACGAGCTTTCCTTGTAACCGGAAAGTCCTGGGTTCCAACCTTGTTGGTGGGTGCGTACTGGTGATGATTCCCACCTAAACTAGGATGAAACAGCTGTCCAGTACTCCATTGCTGGTTTTCAATGGTTCTCTAACTGATATTAAACCGTGGTCCAACTCGTAAACAACTTCATGAGCTGTTGGATCAGATCCCAGCGAGTGCGTACTGCTGAAGAGTACCAGTCTAGGACGGAACGATTATCCAGTACTCCCTGGTCTTACAATGATTCTCTAATTGATATCAACTCGTGACTAAACTGTTAAAAGATGCTTTTGTTAATTTTAGTGAACTTTAATTTTTTCCGGAATCAAATTTATTTTTCCCATTATTTGGTTGTTTTTTCACTTTCTACAGACAAATTACCAGTGAAATTACCAAATCCAAATATTTTTACTTTGAAAGTAGCTGAAGAGATCGATCCCATGCACATCAGTGGAGTTACTCTACACATTGAGGTGAGTTATACCAATCCTTTGATTTTAGACTAATATTTATGGTCCTTACTTATTTTTATGCATTTTATGTTTTGATCTGGTCTGAGTTTCTATGCCTATCGCCAGTTATCCGTAGGATTCCTATACAGTTTCACCGAATTACCTCATTTTTGGAGTCGATACGGTATCCATCAACCCTTCAAATGATGTGTTTACTGGCCATGAGTTTTCGCGCTATTCTGTATTTTTGGTTGTGGGACATTATCGTTAACATTGCAAGATATTTTAAAAAATTAGTTGTTTTTAGTTACCGGTGCTAACCTTGTGTCTGTCACGTTACTTCAAGCGGTAGCGTTAGAATTAATGAGTTTAGGCGTGTACTGTTAGGTAATGAGGGTAAGGCATTCGATGAGATTACGAAGCCGGATCGACTAAGATGGCGAAGACATATGATAAGTAGAATTATCCTAGAGAATAGCCGGAGTCGGTTTGACAATGGTACGCCGTCAGTTGATGAAGTGGTTAACTCTTGGTTTGAGCCACCTGATGAATAGCAAAATGTCTAGTTGGCATCTTTAGGATACTGACAGTCAGTTGTTGAAGTATCTCAAAGATGATCTCGGCGTCACAGATGCATTTACTTCATGAAGTGCTTCAGATTCTCGAAATTCTCATTCACCTTTATGTAACTAATCTTTTCTCTCGTACACTTTCCTTCACTACGATTTCACTATACTTTTTTAGCGACTTTTACGTGTGGCATCTTGTACTGCGGTACTTTTGTGCATAGCTGACAGTTCGTTCAGTCAGTTAGGCAACTAAACTTGCATTATTCATATTTGAAGCAAATTCATGTCACCACAAATTTTCTACAGGACAGCTGATGCAGACTGTCTCACGATATTGATATGATTGTGCGATTGTGAGTGTTGGTGTAACGGTAGAGGACAAGAGACTTGCTGAAGGAATGTTTATTTGGAATTTAGTATCTCTATATAGCGAAATTATGTGTGCGTCAGTGGCGCGGCGGTTAGGACGCTCGCCGGCCATGCACATGGTCCGGGGTTTGATTCCCGGTCACCGACGCACTCTTTTACCTCGCTTAGCCAGTAATAGAACTGGCAAAGAGAGAAGGTTGGGCATGAGGCTAGCAACCCTATCCTGTAAAACTAAACACTGCTACAGAAACTTCAAGCCTGTAGCTTGAAGCCCTATGTTCCAGTGGGAATGTAAAGGAATAAAAGAAATATAGCGAAATTATATACACCTTATCTTGAAATTACCATGTGTAAAGATCTTGGGTGTGTTGTGCCACTTCTTGCCGTCCTTCATATTGTGTTTCTTTGCGTTCCTTTCACGTCTCCCATGTCTCTCCGCAACGCTGAACGATTTTCTTTCTCTGAAATCAAATCTACCTACCCCCACCGTGTTATTTGATGTTTTTATGCGGATGGACAGCTCTTTATATATTACTGATAAATCTCATCAGTAGTTTAGAGTTTGCAGGTATCGACGTTCGCGAGTTGTACGGATTATGCTAACGCAAGTTCTTATACCAACAACTTCTATAGTGTTCGTTCTTCGAGTACCAAAGATAAAGCAAAAGACCAGATTTTGTCATCCAAAGTACGTAGTATATTTCGAGACAAAATCGCGGGTAGAGGTGAATGCTTAGCTAGCTAGTAATCGTGCACGCACGTGACACGACGGAGTACCAAATGGCGGGGATGCTTGACCATAAGCCTTCAGCTAAACAAGTCGACTTAAACATTGAGGGTCAGCATCCAATGTTGAGTGATGATTGCTATGGTTAATAATTTAGGGGAATTATTTACCGCTACAGTAGCATACACTACAGTGGTTGTGCCAACGGATCAAACCATAATGGTATTCATTAGGACGGTTGTCCGGATATAATAACTATATCATATCTTTGATTGTTCATTCCATTTGTGTATCAAATAAGGCATTCGTAAAATATAAAGCAGCTTGGTGATCGGGTTAGTAATGCCAAATTCATATTCTCTTGTTTTTTGTTATTTTAGTTCTAATCCCTTAAAGGTCAAATTGATTCACTAAATAATGATTTAATAGCACAAACTTATAAAAGGAATTAGGTGACATTTAATGAAAAAAAGATTACAAGTATGACAGTTTTTCAACCTTTGGATTCCAGGTGAACATGGAGGAGACTGACACTAATGAGGGTAGAGTTTATGACTGCAGTTTATAATAACAATAATGAAAACTTTATCCTTGACAGTATATCTTTATGAAAAGTACAGAATTTCCTGTGATTATTATTATTATCCATTATTTTCCCCTTGGGTCCTGAATGGAACACAAAGCTTCAGCATCACATCTCCATCTACTCCTGTTCTCTTCAGTCTTCTTCATCCGGCCCCAAGATTGCTCATAGGCTGTTATCTATTCCTCATACTATCTCCTGCATGTCACACCCAGACGTCAGCTAGACTAATCGTTTCCCATTTGTGTTTCACTCATAAAATGGCCTGCCGTGCGCGCGATGTCATTCGATGGCCTCCTCAGTATTTGTCCTATCCATCTCGATTTTATTTGGAATGTTCAAGTGTTGGTTTGTAGTGATTTGATTGGTTACAGGATTTTCAACATGAGCTGACATTAAGTTAGAGAACCATTGGGAAACCTGGGAGTACTGGACAGTTGTTTCGTTCTCGTTTGTGACTCTTCATCAGTACGCACCCACCACCACGGTTCGAACCCGGGACCTTCTGTTTACAAGGCGAGCTCGTATACCATTAAGCCACTGGGACTCGATCCAATGGCCAGTTCATGAATTCTAACTTCTGCCAATTCACGACATAGCGTGGCCCTTAGCCAATGTCTTCGGTGAGTATTTGTCCTCACACCCGACCCGCTGCACCCTACTGGTCACGACTTCTCACTAGAACCCTAGGTAACTACCTACCTGAATATTTATAGAGCAATAGGTTCTTGGTTGGTTCATCCCCAAAGTTTAATGTTGCCTAGCCATCTATTCTGGCCACCCATCTGATCTTCAGTATGGAACCAGTGAAGGCAGATGTTGATACAAGTCTGCAAACTGTTGGAAATACGTTTCGTTATGCGTTGGCTTAGTTTCAGACTCATATATGGAGGAACTGACTGACTTAACATTGGTGTGTTGAAAATACGAATCGTGTTGTTCATATTGGCTAAGTGAGTGCAGAAGATTTTCAGACTGGTTTCAGGTTGATGAAGGCGTATCTTGCCTATCTGATTCTGACTAGCTGGCGTTGACATTTTCATCCGTTACACCGGGAGATGAAACGATGCTTCCTAGATAAGTGAAGGAAGTAACCTCTGTCAAATGTCTTTTGTTGATAGTAATTGGTACTGTTCATTATCTTAATTACCTCCGTCGCCTTTTGTTTGTTTGAGTAGTTTCCAAATCAATTCAACATTATGGCATGCTACAAATCTTTATCTACCTCATTCAACAGATCTATGATAATGGCACATGCTATTTGATCTACAATGGAAATCTCAGCGAGGCGTTTAAAGTGAATGCAACAGTAAAACAAGACCTCAGTGTTTATAGGCACAAAATATCTATCCCTTGTGAAGGATTTTCAGGGAAAAACAACAGTCGATAATAGGAAGCACCACAAGAAGGAATGTTGTTCGATCCGAACTAATATCCACTTGCTTACGATATCTTTGCTTTATTTTCTTTGAGCAGTGTACAACAGTAGGCTCAAAATTAATTCAAAAATGTGCGTGAGTACATGGCCTTATCTAACGATATAGATAGATGAATTAAACAATTTGGAACTGAGAATAACTGATACATTAAGCGAAGTGTGAATTTAAGTAGCTCACTGATTTAAAATAAACCACTTTGTTCATTATGTTCACCATCTTTACTCTACCACTTTATACCAATGTCGTCAACGTCAATCAACCAGCTTTTATAGATTTCTTTAACCACTGCACAATACATAGGGTAACTGTTATAGTTGTTCCATCATTCTAAATTTTCATAGTGATCTATTTATCTGAAATCCAGACTGTCTACATATGGCAATTGCGGAACTGCTCGTAAGATTTAGATATGATGGAGAAGATTTGTACCTCAAGTAAGTGATTTTGAAGTGGTTGTGTTCTCTGAGCTGGATAGTTTATTTGCGAAGCTCTCATCACCCTACTAGGTGACATCTTCAGCCCATACTTCAATTTGAAATGAGCTTTTAGATTTCTCCACGAGTTTATTAGTTATCTCTCCCGGTGACCTTGCGTTTTCACACACTCTAGGCTACTTGTATTGGAACTGATTCTTTCCTTGAGTCGAACTTTGACCCCTTGTGTGTGAGGTTTCCTCCTTATCGGTTGATAAATTTTGTCTGTCTCGCTGTGTCTATTGATTGACGATTTACTGGAATGCCAAACTTCTAAAAATTCTCTTCCATTCTTCGTGTTTCCTCTGTCTAATATTTGAACGTTGTCCCAGTCGAATTGATGTCCGTGGTTGTCTGTATGCAGTGTGGCGATATGAGGGAGTGGATATCATGTCTTTTGACGGCTACCTTATGTTCATGGATACGAAGACGAAGGGGACGTCCACAACCAATCACTTCCAAGGTCACCGGGAGAGATGATTAATAAACTCGTGGAGAAATCTAAAAGCTCATCTCAAATTGAAGTATGCGCTGAAGATGTTGCCTAGTGGTGGGGCGATGAAAGCTTCGCAAATTAACTATCCAGCTCAGAGAACACAACCACATCGGAATTGCGGAACCCATGAAAAAGAGCCCGAAAATAATCAAAGTGACTTTGTAAAATGTCCTGTCTCACAGCACATAAGTGCTTGCTTTATGCAGCTTATTAATACAACATTTGAAGAAGAATTTTCCATTTTGGGTCTCATTACTAGCCGAAATCAGCACGGGAAGTTATCGAAAAGCAAACTTTTATAGAGATCTGGGAATATTTCCCAAAATAATTTTAAAAGGACTGCTTGCATATTAGTCATATTCTCC